TGTGTGTGTGTGTGTGTGTGTGTGTGTGTGTGTGTGTGTGTGTATCCCATGCTAAACATAACATTGGCGAGCCTTTAAAACCATGCCCCTCAAGGATATTTCAACCCATGCAAGATGTTTTTTAATTTACATATTCATTGTTCTAAACTTGAGCCAAATCCTGATGAGACCTCCATACAAAGTTTACCTTCTTAATCATCAAGTAAGAATCATTATTCGCATCTAATTGTTATATTTATAATCCTTGTTCACCGCAAATGATAAAATAACTATAGTATTCACATTAGCAACTGAAATAAAGGTTTCAAGATAACCAATGTTATATGAGTTAATTCTTGACCATTTATTTGGCCTTATAAATTTCTAGTGAGTCTAAGGATTGGTATTTTATAATAAAAATCCACATACACTGTATTGATCTCTTTCTAGTACTCTAACTTGAATGTTTTGCTATTTTGAAGGGCCATCATTGCTTTCCTCATATCAATGCACTATTTCACATTATTAAAGGCCTCCAAGATTGTTAGGGGGATAGAAATAATATAAAGACTAATATGAAAAAAATTATGACTACAAAAATAGATTATCTTATAATAATAAATATAAGTAATGTTTAGATGAAGTTTTTGTATCTCTAGTTGTGAGCTAGATGGTTCCCTCCGCAGATTAATTAATAGGAGTTAACTCAATTGATTAAATTTATATAGATTAAAATGGCTTTCTCATTGAATAAACTAAGAATGGCTGAACGAAATGTAGTTCTATCATATATTTAGTTTGGTAGGAGTGGGTAATATTAGAATAAAAAATTTTGCTGAAATAAGTGGTAAAAAAAGGGGTAACTGAAAGAATGAATTCATTCGAGTGACACTTTTTTCCTTGGGATCAATAATAATAAAGGAAGAATCATCTTCATTGAAAACAACATCAGCATATGCATACATCTTTCTTATAATAGAATGGTAGCATTTGTGCCCTTTTTTTGGCAAAAGAGTGGCCAATATAATTTTCCTTTGATTGTTTCCAGTATATGGAGATGTATATGTACCCAAAAAAAAAATCACATACCTTAGAAACAAGGTAATTTGAGATGTTGAAGTGAAGAAAGAATTTGATTTACACTTGTGTAGAATATTTGAACACAAAGACACTTGCATATAACCAGTTATTATAGTGTGAATAGTTGTTAAAATAGTTTCGCCGAATATTATTTTAGAATATTGTTGGGGTGAATATGCTCAAGGGGACTCATGTATTATTCATTTTTTTCCAAGTTTAAGAAGATGGAATGGTTTAAAATTTTGTGACATTTTCAAGCATGACTCTAATTTCAACAAAACGGGATTTTAATCATGTTGAAAGAGAATAGAAAGAGTTTACTTATATTATTTTAGCTTATAGTAAAAATATTCAAAACACACATGAAATCATTGATAAGGAACACAATACTGAGCCCTAAGGGTTATCTTGGATATAGATGATTGCCCACATATATAACTATAAAAGAGAAAAAAAATACTCATTTCTTATGTAATTGGAAGACTAGTATGCTTGTAAGACCGGGGTCCTAGGGGGCTGAACCGGTTCAGTGGGGAGGGTTTAGGATCGGCCGGTCCTAGGCATTTGGGCCTGCCGCCCAATAGAAGGGAGAGACCCACTCCCTGCATATATCTACTATTATATATAGGGGTTTTGTGTCATAGGGTTTCAGTTTTTGATGTCTTCTGATTTCAGTTTGTGAGGACATCTACGGGCGTCCATCTTCCCCTTCAAGGGTTCTATCAAACAGAAAGAGTGGTGCTCCAACTACATTACTCTCCCCCGGTGGTGATTTTCTTCTCCGACCTCCACCTCCACCCTACCCACCAGTCGCCAGCCGCCTGGCCCTCTTTTCCTCCATATTGTAACACTTAGCTCCCTCCTTGCCCCTCCCTTCTGTAATGACAACTTTGCCTTCATCTCACAATCACATAAACCCCCCTTTTCCCAATCGCAGGTCCCACGTTCCACCGCCAGCAGATTTTCCTGAGAGTTCCGCACCCCCCAGCCAACCATGACATTTCCTTCCACCAACGCCCCTCTTTCCACCACCTGCAGCAACCCCAACTCCCACAACGCCAACAGCTCCCCTTCCCAGTCAGTCACTCAACTTTGTCACTTGTTTCTAGAGCTGTCGTCCAACCCTTCAACCCCTTCCAAGATACCCACAATCTCCAACCAACCCTCCATCCCCTAGTCAGCCACCCACCCAACACTGTCGTCCTTCCCTAGGGTATTGTGTGTATGTTTGTCATTATTTCCCGTTTTGAAGAGCCATTGTTTGTAACCTTCCAAATTTCACTAAAAATGTGTTTTAATTATAGTTTGGGTTTGCTACGGTGTCATTTGGTATCAAAACTAGTCTAGCCCTAGTCATATCCTAGAGTTTCCTAGCATCTGACTCTACCAAGTTGCCTCCACAAAAAAAAAATTTCTTTCTCATTCTCAAATCATATCCCCAAATTGACCTAATCTCAGATTTCGCCTTTGCTAATTTTCAAAATCAACAACCCCGCATTAGTTTCCTACACCTTCCATGAGTTTCCTGCCCCCTCTTTCACCTCCTGACCCTGAATCTTAATCATGCCACCGTAGAGATAAATGTCTAAGCCTACCAAGGAAGAGATACAACAGGAGATCCGTAGACTTCAGCGGAGAGTGGCGGACATTGAGGATGACATCCAGGAGGGACTTACCCTCGATGGTAATAGGCAAAGCCAAAGAGGAAAAAGGGATGATAAAATCAACCCCTTCCATAGGTAGATTTTCACTGGTGAAGAAGAAAGGCTATAACACTTAGGAATCTGGTATTAGAGGAGACCGAGAAAGAAGGCCACATATGAAGAACGAGATAATCTGAAAATGAAGTGGGAGACCAAATATCAGTTCCTACCAGCTTACTACAGACAAAGGGTGCAAACTCTAGCTCCAAAAAAGGAGAGACCACATCACCGAGAGAATTCCACAACTTACAGGCAGAGTTCAACCTCAGAATTTTATAAACCAAGCCCGCTCAGGAGAACAGCCAAGGCGACCATCAGAGAAAAAAACTAATCCTGAGAAGTGAACAAGTGAAACCAATACGCATTCCTAAATATGTTGTAGCCAGAAAGTGTTGCAAGTGTCACAGATTTGAGCATATTGAATCAGAATGCAGAACCAAGGGGTGATATATTTCACAGAGCATGGAGTTATTGAAAAATTAGGCAATGATACGGTTGATCCGAGAGAAAGATAGCTTCAGAAAGGATTCTCCACTTGTAGCCAATGAGAAAGAAATGTCATCAATTATGGTTGACCCCAGAAGATTTCAGTTGAGATAACAATAGCTATTCCATAAAGTAGTGACTCAAATGTAATGGAAAGACGAATAGAGTACGAGATGAGGGAGTCTTGAGCTAGCATTTTGCAGAAGTTGAGAGAGCACCAGCAAGACTGACCTTGGCTGCCCAACAGAGTCATGAGTTGGAGGAGCCGACATTGAATACAAGGCCACCACAAATAAGAGAAATGCAAATTTTTCATATGTATAGACCCCTTCCTGAATTACCCTGACAGAGGAAGGTCCAGCATGTCATAAGTGGGGTCATTATGTGCCATGTCAGGAATAACACATGGAGTTATTCAAAGGTTATTTTCAGTTCCGCATGGTATCTTGAGTAAAATGTCCAGAGAGTAGAGAGGAACGCAAGCTTTGTATGGGGCTTGAGGAGTTTGATAGAGACAAAAGTTCTTCAATGGGATCCAGGTTTTATCAATAAAGAAAAGATCTCTCCTAAATGAGTGTTAGTGAGAGGGGTGCAGTCTGCCACAGATTTTACCCCATAGTTGATTTCTCCTCACATACTAATTCATCAGTCGTACTCAGCCGAATACGAGTGAGAGAAGCAAGTTACAACTGGGATAGCTTGAAATATGAATCGTGAGAATACTCATCTATCTACAGTTCCAACTCATAGTGTGTCAAAAGTGGATGGATACCTATTATACCAGAATTCGCTTTGGAATGACAACACCCATTTAATCGACCTACCAGGGCACATGAAGTCGTGCGGGAAGGTTCGGGCTACTCTCATTACTTTGGGAATATTCAGCAGTACAGGCGAGACCCACAGTCCCAAGAGATGGGACAGAGACGAACTTACGCGCAAAAGTGGAGAAAACTCCTCTGGTATTTTGGGAGACAGTATAGACCGAAAGTGGAATCCAAGTCCTATTAGGACTACAGTTGAAGATTCGTCTAGCCAAAACACTAGAAAAAAGAAGCCACTAATTACTCTCCAAGATTTTCAAAAAAATATGATAGAAACAACATTATTTCTCCTATATTCATCCTTCACTTAATAAAAATACCAAAAAAAATGATGGATTAATAGACTTTAAAAAAAAAAAACTTCATTTCTACTAGAGGCCAGCCTTTGCCTAATGCTATTAAAGCACCAAAAAATCACTCTACTCCATCTAGCATTCTAGCTTTCTTCTACTAACAGAGGTAAGATTGTAAACGAAATAAGTAATAGCATCGAAAATTTGATAAAAATGGCAATCACATCTACTGTTTTGTCAAAATGAATCTTCTAAATATATGTATCCCAAAAATGAAAAAACAGTAACTCACCCTCCACGCAAGTAAAATATATTTTTCTTTGTCAAAGGACATCACATCAACCCCAACAATAGGTGAACAGGACTTCAAAGTCATGACATTTCGTATAAAAGGCTGGCCTTCACCTTGGATAGTGACCAAGTTGGCAATCTGTAAGGAATGTGATACTTTTATGACTGGAAAGTTTACTGAATACAGCCCAAGTTCAGTAAGTATGATGAGAACAACCTGAATAACGGGATCATGAGTAGGCTCAGGGAAGAGTCCTTTACGACCAGCACACTCAATATCAAAACTTAATATGCGAAATGGAGCCATTTTCGAGTATTCTCCTTCCGGAACATGGCTAATTAATTCTGAATATCTAAAAGGTTGCCTTAAGGAAAATTTTCCAGCATATATATCCTGCTAAACTCAATCAAGAAATGCAGTAATTTAAATTTTCAGAGAAGGATACAGGCAATCCAACTCCAATTGGCAATAAGAAAAACCTGCCTTTGTTTTCTTATACTTCCCTGCAGAAACTTCTATCCAGTTTCCTCCGCCAATATTGCAATCAATCATGAAGCGCAGCGTGAAAAGAACATTGCTTTCATATGTAAGGAAGTTCTTTGAACCAAGGCCCTCAATCTGTATGCCCCTCTCCAAAATGCCTGCCAGACATATATAAGGTGAGATTCAAACAGGCTATTGACTTGGATATCAAATGTCATTTGATACCAATATGTAACATCAATATCAGCAAGCAAGGAAGAAGAATGCAAAGAATTTGTTAGACAGTGATATCTTGTAATGTTGTGGTATTGTGCGGAACCAAATTTTCCAGTTCTCACCAATATCAGGACGAGCTGCTCTGAGAGTATGTTCCGATGGTTGTGAAGCAATGGAGGGTTGCATAAGAAGGATGAAGCTTTCCTTGGTGTGGTATATGGGGAGTTTTAAACAGCAATGTAAAAGCAACACATCAACGAATGAAGCCTAGCATTTAATTTCCAGAACCAGTGCTAGGACATAATTTATGCTAAGGTCATAACGGAGCCAAAGCGTGTATGAAACCAAAATCAAGAAAGTGTCTACTGAACAAAATGATTTGCACTTTGAACAGATTGCAATTGAAACAAAGGCACAATTTACAATACAGGAATCAAGTTTCACCATAATCGTAATGAAAAGAAACAAATAACGCTAAAGGAGGTACTAGTATGAGATCAGCCTGCTAAAATGTTGGGATTCAATTGGACTCATTTGTTTCCAAATTCAACTTTAACATCACCGACCGGGCCATAACACATTGAAAGAGAGAGAGAGAGAGTTGGATTAGGAAAAATTTTGGAGCTGGTGAATTCTAAAAAACACTGTTGGCCTAAAGTTTTGCACTTGTTTAAAGCCATTACGCTCCAATCCAAAAACAACCAACTTAATTGAGTTTGCATGATATAGAATCTTTATAGTTGAAATAATATAAGAAAGAGACTGAATGTCAGATTAGAGACATAAAAATCAAAGTTTGAGGGGTGGTAAACCTGTCGAAGACAAAAAATAAAAATGAAAACAATCAAAGTATAGTTAACTCATGTGTAGTTTAAATGTCCAATTATGGGCAAACAATGAGATAAGATAATAAAAATATGATGAATCCAACTTTTATCAGGAAAATTTCAATCTTTGAAAAAGTAGAGCAGAATATGGAACTCACAAAAGTTCAATAATTGTAGTGTAATCTGTGAAGTTGAGGGGTAATTCAAAAGAGCATGTTCAACGATGCTTAGAGCTCAATGTTCAAGTGATCAGTAGTACTATTTTCATAGCCTAAATGCAACTATGCAAAAAAAAAATAATAATAATTGTAATAAATACTGACTAAGAATAGTCATCAAATGTTGTTCAAGTACCACGACAACTAGCAACCATGGTTGGCAGAGTAACTATGATCTTTAGAAAAGGTTGAGCTTCATGTTGCTGGTAGTACATGATGCTCTTCTTTTGAACCATCTCAATCCGTTTGATAAACCGTGGCACATTGCTGCTTCTGTTGGATTCTCTCATTCTACCCTGTAAGAGCCATTAACAAAAAATGGCAACTGTCTGAGATGATCGAGCAAAAACTAGATTAACAAATAATGCTAACCTCGAGAGTTTTCTGAAATCCTGAGATGTCATCAGGGCTCATTCCCGAGGGACAACTTACGTAGAAATATGGCTCAAATCCATGTACATGGCAACACACACTATGACCTGTAAGAGCCAAAAGCCAACAATATTTCGAATGATGCAAGCCAAATGAACGATTGAATGTCGAGGGAAAGAAAAAACTATAATTTAAGAAAAAAAATCTAACCTTCCTTGGTTACTCCAAAAATTCTGAGAATTGCTGCAGGGCCGGAAGACATTGGAAGCAGCTCCTTGTGGGTCTCTCCAATCACATAATCAATTTCTAACTGCTGAAATACTGCATCAAAGAAGATGAACGAAAAAAGGTCAATTGAATAGATCATCTAGTCGGTATAAATTTAATAAAAAAAGATGAATGCAATTGCTTCAAATTACGTATATTCGTGGAATATGAAAGATAGGAAGGGGAAGGAAGGGGAAAGAGCAGGGCGTGGAAAGAGCAGGGCGTTTCCATTTCGAAAACCGAGCGGCAACAGCCTCATCTTGAAGTAAGCGGAGGGCCTCTTCGTCCTCATCGTACTTGAGGAGGGTTTCTTCCAGGAAAACGTCTTCGTCCATTAGGTCGTCTTCCATCTCGTTGATCCCGTTCACCGCCGGGGAAGGATTAGGTTTGCCATTTCCAGGCCCTGGGGGTCCGGACTGGAATCTCTTCGAAGGGTTTGGAGAAGCCTCGGCTGCCAAGCCACGCCGCTTTCCACTGCCGGCATTCATGGTGGTGTCGTCGAACAGACAGAGCAAGGCAGAGGAAATTGGCAGTGCTTTGGTAGCTTGGAATTGTGTTCCCGCCATGAAGAGTAGGGTTTCATACAGCTGAGAGCACGTGACAATCTCGTGATGCCGGAGAAATTTTTTTTTTAATTATAAAATACGTTAAATTCGAAATAAATGATTTTCGGGGTTAGAATGTGGAAAGGTTCTGTGTGAGAGAAATTACAAGTTATATTCAAAATAAATAATTTTCTAATATTAGTTTAATTCCAAATAAATAATTTACAGGCATGCCATTGTACCATCTAATTTTATGTATTTGTATTGCTAACACCTAAATTTTACTTATATTTATATCTCTCAAAATTTTAAAGATTATTCAGTCAATAGCATTACGGGTGTCTGATGCTCCTAATGTAAGCATTATAGAAATTTAACACTTTGTTTAAAAGAAATTTTAATTCAATGTAGAATACCATTGTACGTGAAATTTGCACCTTTTTTCACACAACTTAAAATAAAACATCCTTGGTAACCACACCTCGTGCCGCCTAAATCATCATATATTACTGCCTCCGTCACTAATTTCCGCCAACGACCACTGGCCACTTGCGCTCGTCGTCAATCACTCGTGTTTGTCGCCAATCGACATCCCCCACCTTCACCGCCCACCTTCGTCGGCACCACAGTCCACCAAACACTATCAGCCACCATCACCCCCCTCCACAGGCTACCCACTGGCCACTGCCACCTTCACCTCTTACCTTCGTCGGCACCACTGTCCACCGACCGTTGTCAGCCACCATCTCCCCCCTCCACAGGCTACCCACCGCCACCCTCACCACCCACCCTCCCTTCTCCCACCTTCATTGGTACCACAGTCCACCGACCGCTATCAACCACCATCGCCCCCCCTCCACAGGCTACCCGTCGCCACCCGTCATAGTCGCTCACCCTTGCTAGCCAACGCATTACTTTCTAAATATATTGAAATGCATTATTTTCATTTAATTCAAATTAAAAAAAATGAAATCATCCATTTCTTTTAATAGTAAACCAAACAACCTCAAAGTATTTCAAAAATAATATATTACTTAAACATTTCATTCATTTTATACCGCATTACTTTTCCAACCAACAAAGCAGCCCCCATGCTCACAAAGAGACGTCACTATTTCAATTTTTTAAAATTTAAATTCATATTTACACGTCTAAGTGAAGTGACATGTATGTAAGAAATAAAGCTAAAGTGTTATATATTGTTGAGCGGGAGGCTTCATTGGAAACAACGGGTAGCAGTTAGCCATAGCAGGGGCCTTCAGATGTCAGGGCAGAGAGGCGCCCCTGCACCATGTGAGACAGCCTTGGTTCCCGAGCAAACAACACCTCAGCTCCATTTTTTTTGGGCCGCCCCTATGTCCAAAACTGGCACTAGCGTGTCAGGTGGTATTATCTATACAGTTCGGATTAAATTCCATGATTCCAAGCAACGACATCTCTAATGCACATAGTGAACCCTATAATGACTTATTTAGGAGAGGCGAGCTCAATTTCTCTTGTGGGATCAAAAGAGGATTTAGAGCGAATTATCTTGAAGAGAAAATTCAACTGCTATAGTGTGACCATATTATGTGATGAAGTTTTGATTTCTAATTAATTGAAATGCTGAGTTGGATATTTCATCCCAACAAATAGGAACACAGAAGGGTGTTTGATTCCAGCGGGAGCAATGGCCGATGAATTAAGATACAAAGTGGAGAAGTTTAATGGATCCAAATTCGTGTTCTAGAAGATGGAATTGGAGGATTTGTTGCATAAAAATATATATAACACTTAAAAAATCACCATGAAGCTTGAATCAATGACCAAAAAGGAACGGATGGTGTTGGATCGAACGGACCTATGTTTGATTTCTTTGTTGCATTTAATATAGTGAATGAAGAAAAAAAATAATGATGAATATCATGGTGGCACTAAAAAAATGTACTAAAAATATTTTGTTCATAAGAAAGCTTTTCTAATAAAGAATTTTTCAACATGAAGATGGTGGAATGTAGCTTAGCGGTAGAACAGCTAAACAATCTCAATATTATAATGAGTTAGTTATGTTTTGTGGGATCAAATTTGCTTATAAGATATGAGGACTATTAATGTTATCTTCATTGTCAAACAACTGAGATCGTTTGGTCACTATGACAAGTAGCACTTATAGAAATATGAATTTGAACTTTCATAACATTGTGGGGTTTGTATTGAATGAAGAAGTTCGCAAAAAGTCATTAAACGTGAATCTTATGGTTATTGATATGTCCTAAAGCGTGCTTAATTTCCATAATATTTTATATTTATTTTTTATGAAAATGCATTCTAAAGAAATGTATTCTTGTGTTTTTCGTGCAGGTATAATAAGTGGAATACTTGGAGCGAAGCGGGATGGAAAAGGAGCGAAAATGAGCAAAACGGAGCAAATAGGGAGTTCAAACAACTAGAGCCTTGGCGCTGGATTCTGGGCACCAAGGCACTCCATTCAGGCGTCTTGGCACCAGTTTCTGGGTGCTTAGGCGCCAAGTCTCTACGCACCAAACAAAGAAGACGGCGCCTGGGCGCTAGTTCTGGGCGCTAAGGCACGACAGTTTTTCTGCACCTGATCAACCTCGAATTTGGAGTTATTTTTGTTGTTTTAAACCATTTTAGCAAGGATTTGACATAAGGGGGCAGAGGAGAAAAAGAGAGGAACGTCTGGGAAGTGCTGGCAGAAGCCAAGGAAAGTGTGGAGAAGACTAGAGTCTATATTTTTACCATCTTTCTTGAGTGTTTGGTGAGGATCTTGAGAGAATATTGTAAAGAGGAAGTATTACATCAGAGCAAGAAAGACTTGGATCCATTGTTGGAAGAAAAACTAAGTATTACTTTTACATTTGTCTTGTAATGTGACATATACTTACTGGATTTGTTTTGTGATTTGATGATGGTTTTCATGTTCTTCTTCATGCTTAGTGAGTAGGTTTCCTTTACCTTTCTCTTGTGATACATGTGTAGGTTATGTAGGATGCAAATATATTTATAACAACAATTTTACACTCATAATGTGATGGTTTTATTTCATGCTTTATTTAGTAATCAATTTGGTCAATTAGTGTGCTAAAATTTGTTGCGAACCCATAACGATTCAGAAGGACTATGGCTTTATCAACTAGGAAAACCACATTAAACCTATGAGGGAAAAAGAAGTACTCCATAAGTAAATACAATTAGATAGGGAGATAAATTTTGAGGGGGTCTAACTTAGAAGTTTCTAGGGTGACAGACGGAAACATTTACTGAGTTAAACGTAACTTCGTCACATGCCCGGAAGAGGGTAACCTAGACTCATGTTACTATTGTCACTAGCAGCATTAGATTATTAGTATTTTATCCTACGTATCCACATATGCACTCGCAAGAGATTGGTACCTTTCATATCTTGATATCAACCAACCTAGTTTGGATAACTAGAATAGTTGGAATTAGCCTTCTTTAACTTAACGCAGTAATTTAGGAGTGGTTGTTAGAAAGATCACTTTAAATTACATTCCAAACTAAGACCCTTACCGTAGTAGAGTAGAACACATTTGATTAGAACCATTACCACCTTTCTTATGGGATCAATATCTGGACTCAATTAGAGACATGTATTACTGAAACAATATGTATACTTGTGTGTGAAACCTCAGTGTGTAAGAATATTTAACTTTAAGGACTTAATTAATTTACCAAAAAGTGGATCAAGTTTCTTGTGAGAATATAAGGACTTATTCAATGTGACATAGGCACGCGGTGGGTGGATCATGTTTCTGGCGCCGTTGCAGGGGAAGCAACGGTAAATAATCCTTTAAGAGGTTTTTAATCAAACATGCAAGACTTAGATTTAAAAATTGTAGTGTTATTATCTAGTGTGTTTAATTATTGTGTGTTTATTTTTAAAAATATATAAAATACAAAAATATTTTTGATTGCTTGATATACCAGACATATCTTCTATTAGTTAAGTCTTTAGAGTGAATGCGTAATTCAAGTGTTGCAGACCTTGAACCATTTGACTTAGAACTAGATAGAACTTTTAGGAGGATTAAAAATCAGAGAGAACTCAAAGAATCTATTGTAGAAAGGTTTGATCAACAAGTTAACAAAGATTCAGTTAATGATCATAATGCTAATAAACTTTTAAGGGATTATGTGAACCTTACGGTGGATGGTATCCACTTAAGTATACAAACCCCGACTGTAAAGGCTAACACTTTTGAACTTAATCCTGCAATTATTCTAATGGTGCAAGATAATCAATTTGGAGGATCCTCCTCTGAAGACCATAACTTACATTTAGCTAGTTTCTTAGAATTATGCCCTAGATTCAGGTATAACGGTGTCTCCAATGATGTTGTTAGACTTATACTCTATCCCTTTTAGCAAAGGGATAAAACCAAAATGTGACTTAATTCATTAGCACCGGATTCAATTAGAACGTAGGGGGATTTAACCTAGAATTTTCTAGCAAAGTATTTTCGACCATCTGAAATCACTAAGTTGAGTGATGATATCATGTTTTTTTATCAACCTAAAGGTGAATCAATTTATGAGGCTTTGAAATGATTTAACGAACTTCTTAGGAAGTGTTCAAATCATGCACTACCCTATTAGCTTATTATTAAAACCTTCTATTATAGATTAGTTGCTTCTTTAAGAGCAATCATTGACGTTTCCGTTGATGGTTCGCTTATGTCGAAATCATTTAAGAAGGCTTATTCTCTTATAGAAGAGATGACCACCAACAAATTTCAATGACCCTCCGATAGAGTAAACCCCAATAAGGTAGCAAATATTCGTGAAACAGATGTGTTGACTACTTTAACTTCTCAATTAGCATGAGTCAACTTCAAGCACCTCCATTCATTGAGGAAAGTACATTCGGACAGTTGATCGATACTACCTCTTTTAAAATTATCCATATAATAAAAAATCACTCAAATAACCCACATTCTAATTATTACTAATCATGCTGGAAGAATTATCC